GCTATCACTAAAAGGCTACAAATCACTGGCTGCTGAAAAGGTTTAGCAGTGTAACAGAAAAAGCACTTCAGTTGAAGTAAATGATGATGTAAATGTTATTCTACCCTCAGGGTTGCAAAGCTTACCAGAGTTGCCAATATGGATCAATAACAAAGGAAAACTAAATGTTAAAAGCACTCAAACGTAATTGACTTTTCATACTGCAACAACTGTACAGGCATTCACGGCAACATATGTTTTTTTTTTTTCGACCTAAGCTAAACCGTCAGAGTCAGCATTTTAATTTCCATGTTTAAACAACTGCAAACATGCAGAAGTACATACATGAAGCATTTGTGTATTACAACTACTGCACATCCATTATCCTATTACAGCTGGATATTTTAAAACAAAGTTCTGGCTTTTCCATAAATCATGTCCCACCTTCCCCGTGTTGCCATGACGCCAACCACAGCAGTGTACTGTACATACCGCCATTCTTCACAGCGTGTGTGTGCGTGCGCCTGTGTGTTTGTGTGACGGCTGAAAAAGCAGCATGTGTGGCTGTAGACGAGAGCTACAAAACCCACCTGAGCGTATTCAGCTGTTATCAGTGTGTGAATGGACGCACAGCTTTATTTGAATGTGACGACCACACACAACGAAGGGGAGATGAACAGAGAAAGGCTCATTCAGGCAGCGGCACAATGACGGGGAGTGTGTTCAGACAAACACAAGGACAGCAGGTGGGTCTTTTTCACCTAGTCTGAACAGTGAACACCCAGAGAGACAGGCAGACACAGACGGTACAAAAGAAAAAAAAAAGAAAAAGAAAAAGCAGAACTTGGTGGTAATGATAATGCAGTACCCAAGCAGCAACTTACTGTAATCACAGTTGCCTGATGCATTACCCAGTCCCTTGGGGATCTTTTCAGTGATTATTTTGGCCAAAAATTAATGCATTTCCAGCTGCTTTGCGAGAAATCGCGTTTAAATTAGAGAGATTGTTCACATTTGAGTGTAATATTTATATTTGCAGACATGGTGGCTGTGGTACTCCATTCCCCCCGTGTTTGCAAGCTCTGAATCACCAAGTCTGTAATCTGGTTCCGCTCAGAGCTAGCAATACTGATCCCAATGGGACCAGGTTTAGGAGCTGCGTAATGGTGAGCCCGATTAATTTCTGGAGGGGATTGAAGAAGCTGTTTTCTAAATGTCTCAACAAGCATCTTGTGTGAACCCCTTCAGCAGATTCCAGCTGGCCAATAATCCACAAAGTTTGCCTCCTGCTGTTTTCCTCAGGATGAGCAGCTTTAGATTTCATGCACAGGTAGGAACAAATTCATTCCAGCTTTCCAACACCCTCAGTTCCAAGTCCACTGTTGTCCATGTGCTGGTGCTGAATCTAGTTTAGCTTCTCGAGCCGTAAAAGATGAGTTTAACTCAGCAGCAAGAGCCAACCTGTGCCACATAAGCAGTTAAAGTAGTTGCAGCAATAATTTTTCACTGTTGACAATACACTCAAGAAATAAAAATCCTGATATTACACTAGTGTATCAGTGTTACACAGACAGAGTTGGTTAAATAGCTAAATGAAAAAAGTGTTGGAACACAAGCGTCAGCGAAGTTTGGAAACTGAAACCCCTTTTCAAACTTCGTTGCAAATATTCTGATAATAGAAGTCGGCTTCTATTATGAGAATATTTGCATGTTGCTGCTTGTTAGGAGTCCACACAACAGTTAAACCCTCGCAGTTTGTGAGGATTTCCTGCTTTTCTGTTTTAATCAGTGTAAATGAAGTATGTTGAGGGTGTTGGACTGTCGGACAAAACAAGCTATTTTTTTTTCACACGTCGCCTGAGGTTTTGTAAAACTGCAATGGGGATATTTCACTAATCAACAGATTAACTTTTAATGAAAAATATTAGATGCAGTCATATTCACATGCATTAATTAACTACCTGGCCTCCTTTTTTCCCCCCTTTAATCTCCTGACTCAACGTCATGCATCTGCCCTTTTCGACTTGCTTCCAGACAAGTCCCTCCAGACAAGCTCAGGTGTCACACAGGCAGACAGGTTGACATCTGTCGTATTCTGCAGCTCAGTTTGCCTTCGGCTGCAGAGCGTTTCAAAGATTGTAAGAGTGAGCAAGCCGCAGAGGTGAGCAGAATATCGCAAACTGAATTAAGGACGTCCCATTCCCCCACCCCCCTCCTCTCACTCTTATCGTCTCACCCCACTGTGTCTTAAATAGGACTCTGGCTGCTCACTCTGCTCTTCTCCCTGTATGTGTTTCTCTTGGCTTTTCTCTCTCTTCCTGTTCCTCTCTCTCTCTCATCTCGCATATTTCACCCACATCTTATTAAATGCAATGGCTTCCCTACTTGATGTGTGTATATATATATATATGTGTGTGTGTGTGTGTGTTTGTGTGTGTGTGTGTGTGTGTATGTGTATGTGTATGTGTATGTGTGTGTCTTCCTCCCATGTGTCTAGGAGTTTGGATTTAGTAGAAATAGCGAGCTGACTCATCAGGCAGCGCGCATATGAGAACTCGTCCAAGCACCAACCCACACACAAATCACACCAAGTAGACTGACCTCCACACACGCACACGCACACGAACACACACACACACACACACACACACATAAACACACACAAACACGCACAGAGCGAAAAAAGCATCAAGCCATTTGTATGCTAAAATGAGGTTGACTTTGAAGAACTGAGGTGGCCGGCTGAGGATCCTGATTGAGAGCGCTGATGAGATACAGAAGGTTGGACAAACAGCCAGCGAGCCTTTCTCCCCTCACTCACCCTTGAGACGGGAGATTTTCACATGAATAACACTGAAGCTGGAGAAGGCAGAGCAAAAAAAAAAAGGGCCCCCTCTCTCTTTCTCTCTCTGTTGCTCTCTCACACAAATGTACCTTCACAGAAACTTCTCTGGCAGTGTACAATGTAGCTTCACACACACCTTTTGTTCATCCTCTGATTCAGACATAAACAAAAGCCAGAGCAGTGCTTTTTTTCCCTCTGTATTATGCAGAACTTCATTACTGGAAAAAACCCAGCACAACAAATTAATTTCCTCTAGCGAGCAGATGCCGCCCCAGTCATTTGTCTGCTTCCATAAGGACTTTAATGATTATAGGCGAGGTCTTCCAGACATTAATCCTAGTTGGGGACAGATAATTACCCTCAGTGGAGGACCAACCAGGTTAAGATGAATCCACTGGCAAAACATATGAAACGAACAGTAAGATATACGTTGTGTAGAGTTGTGCTCAGGAAGTGAGGCCCTGTGGTCGAGTAGGAAGAAGGAATCGAACTGATGGAAACCTGAACTGAGCCAAAGGGTTCCTGCCCTCTCCTCCAGCCACACAGACCCCACACCCTCCCTGCCTCCACAGCTGCTTCCCTCTCACGCCTCCCCAATGATTAATACCGGCGGCTTACATTGTCCCTATCCCATTACCCCAATCCCCTTCATGGACTTTGACACAGTATCTCTCTGGACCTGCTGCAGTTTGCCTATCGCCCTCAGGTTGGAGTCGATGACCCCATTATCTGCCTGTTTCTACAAGCCCTTTCTCACCTGGACAAAGCAGGCACCGCTGTGAGAATCGTGTTCTCTCACTTCCCTAGTTCCTCTAACACAACCCAGCCCGTCCTGCGGAGAGAGAGGCTGGACCAAGACTATGTTAGATGCTATTTCCGGGGTAGTGGAGGGATAGAGATACCTCGCAGACCATCTCCACAACAGACTGGACTGGAAATGCAAGCTTCCTATAACCGGAGGCTGTCTACAGGAACGGAGAAAGCAGACTCTACTTCTTGTGGAAGTTTATGGCTTTTAATGTGTGCAGCAAGATGTTGCAGATCTTTTACTAGTCTCTTGTGGCAAGTGCAATATTTTTTGCTGCTGTCTGCTCGGGCAGCAGCATGAGAGCCAGAGACACACACCAACAAACTGAACAAACAGGAAGGCTGGCTCTGTGCTGGGGACTTGTGGCGTCGGTTGTGGAGAGACGGATGCTGCACAAACTGCTGCTGTCATGGAGAACATCTCACATCCCCATCCACCACCTGCTGGTCAAACAGCAAAGCACTTTCCAGCGAGAGACTTCTTTGGCTCCGCTGTGACAAGGAACGCTACAGGAAGTCATTCCTGCCAACTGCTGTCACTCTGTATAATGATTCTCCTCTGTGTCTCAGGAGGAGGGGTTCTCCTGACAGAATACTTTTTCCTTGTAATAGGACAGACTGCTCACCTAGACTTTTGGTATGTATATATCAGATTAATCTGATCTGTCAAGGTTTGCTCTATATATATCCACCCAACCTGCAGGTATGTGCAGTGTATAATAGTATATTATATTACCATCATTGTACCGTGTATATTCAGCACACAGTAAAACTATGGGTCTATTTTTTTTCTAGTATTCATGTTTATTTTTTTATCTCTAACTTTATTTAGTCTATTTAGTTACTGCTTAGAATTTAGGCTTTAATTGCATTGTTTGTTACCTACTTCATTGTTTTTGTGATTTGTGTGAAGTGGCTGCTGCAACACTGTAATTTCCCTTTAGGATTAATAACACCATCCATCCATCCGTCCATCCATCCATCCATCTGGCACCGTACATCAGCAGTGTGTTAACTGCAGCCCTCTGCTGTAGGAGCATCAGCTCTTGTAAAATTGTTCACAGCCATGAGCTAAGTGTTGGTGCAGTAAGGAAGAACTCTCGGGCCATCTTCGATTCAAAGGTACCCTGTGGAGTTTTTGACCACTAGCACCATGGAGCCATGTTCTAATGACTGTAGTCGTGGTAACTCATAACATCCTCCTCTGTGTAAGTACCCAGGGACATCTGCATGTGTGTTAACAGAAACATAATCCGAACTTTAGACAGATCTTAGTCGTTCTCATTGATGTGACTCTTGTCATCTAAATTTGTGTGGATCATGTTTCAAAAGAAATCTGGTGAAGTCTCCGGTTTTATGTTGTACTTACGTCTCTGTTTTGTAGGTGGAGCACCTCTCCAGTGGGATTTTCAGGACTCTGTTGTTGAGCCCAACGAAGAGCGACCTGTCGCTGTGCAGGATCTGCAGGCTGAGGATTGGTTCTCGTACCCCTGATGGGAGGAGCTCCATCTCCTCCAGGTAACAGCCTTGTAGGTTCTTGTTGGGCGTAGCCAGCGCCTTCAGGATGGTGCCATATTCTGATTGGACAAGGACAAGAAGAGAGAACTTCTATAAAGTTAGGCAAATTAAAATGCATTCTCTGCTTTATCTTATTTTTTGGGCTTCATATTCTAGCTAAGGTACGTTTCTACTAAATATATGTGAGTTGTGTAAATATGCGTCATAGTTTTGTTCTTTTCTTCTGCTCTACTAACCTGTGCTGATATAAATAACATGGTAGAGGGTGTCCATGCCCTGAACAATGTCCACAACCAGGTTGGAGAAGCGAACGTCGTCCTGCATGACCAGCGGATCAACAGACTCCGGCTGGACCACGTCGTTCATCAGGTAAAGTCTCTGGGCGTCCTGCAGGCTGCGCTCTGTCAAACCCTCATTGGGACCCTCATCATCTATAGTACCACACTGGAGGGGAAATGCAACGGGGAGGGGAGAAAATGGAAGGGTTAGATGTCAGAAAAGCGTGTGAAAATGTGGGCAAGTACCTCACACTCCTGTCATTACTAAAGTACTAAATGAATTACCATGTCTGCCAAGATCGTTTCAGTTCTTACTTCTATTCTCAGTAATTGCAACTTTAACAAAACCGCTCAATGATTGTGATGTGACCATAGCAACAACACGGCAATTTAATGAGCCGCTGCAGAAGAATAAATATGAAATGACAGCCTTCAGAAAAGCTTTGTTTGGGTTGCACAGCTAAGCTGTGAATTGCAGCTTCTGCTTCTTTGTGACTTGAAATGAGAGATTGATTTGTTGGTGGATACCATTTTTGGGTGGCGTTTGGAGCCGTAACAGTTATTCTACAAATATAGAAGGTGTCTGATATGTATATTATTAGTGTACCGTCTTTTTCCTGTTGATTTCTCCGTGTGAAAAAAGGCCTGTCCCCTTGTAGATGATTTTTGGAGCCAACAGTGACTGAATTTGAAGCAGCTTTTCCAAAAACTCAAAAAATTTGTGACTCTTTGATTAATTTTGCTCTAAATTGAAAAAAAGCTGTGAAAAAAATGACCATTTAAAGATCTTGTTGAGAACTAATCAAATAATAATGACTATTTAAAAACTTAATTGATTTACTTACTAAATCATTATTAATTTACTATCTGAATTTGATTATTTTTTACGATGAAGTGATTTGTAAAATTGTGGGCTTTTGAAAAAAATGAAAATAAACTAACCTGGAAGTTGTGGATGGGGTTGGGCGTGGGGAGCCAGGTGGAGCGAGGGTTTTCCTGGGAGCGGAAGGGCCCATTGAAGGCCTGGGTAATGGCGCTCAGGTTGAAGGCACACACTGCAGATGCTGCAATACTGTTGCTTTATAGAGAGATGGATGGGGGAGATGAGACAGCAAGGGGAAGATAGCAGAGGCGCAGAAAGGGGAGAAATGATAAGAAGAGAGGGAGAGGAAGTAAAAAATAAAAATTATTATTTCAGCAATAGTATTCATATCAGTTTACATGTTGGCAGTAAATGTGAAACCATATCAGAAATCAACAGCCTCCAGCTGTGTAATGAAGCCATTCTGCAATGTGTTCCATCCTCTTAATGGAAGTCCTATCATTTATACCTGCACTAAACAGGCGTTATGTTACAGGCTTGCTTTGGCTGCAGGGTAAGCTATGGTATCAGCGCTGCACAGTGAATGGGGACAATATTAAGCTGAGGATATAGGAGGCAGTGGCACAGATTATGTACACACACACACACACACACACACACACACATACACACACATACACACACATACACACACACACACACGCCTCACAGGTGTTACATACAAGAGTAAAACCCCCAGCTAAACTGGCAGTGTGAGTAAAGTTATTATCGTGACACTCTTCGGCCATAATGTGCTGCAAGTTAATGAGTTTCTTAACTGCCTGCTACTGCTGAATGTTTTTTCCCCCTCTTCTTATACACCAGGCACTGCACTCAGACTTTTTACTATGCAGTCAACAGCATACTGCCTTGACATGGCTGGTGAGATGCTAATAAACATAAACCATCAGTGAGAAGGTAGTGAGTGATAACATCACAGGCAGACAGCGAGTCAGGAACAAAGAGAGAGAAAGAAACAGCAAAAGCCACAGAGAGGGAATCAGACAGTGAGGCAGAGACAGAAAGAACTTCATGGTGCTTTGTGAGCTGTTTTGGTACCTTGGGTAAAGTATAAATCAGCGAAGGGCTGCTGGATGAAGAAGCTGAGGCAGAAAAGGCTCAGTAAAATGTGGCCCAGAGTTTGGTAAATGGTTTTAGTGAGACCTAAATATGTGGTTGTCAAGCCTTAGGTTGCTTTTGCTTGATTTTCCATTCTCTTTACTTTCATTTCCTTATGACATAGTCACTAATCTTGTAGCTAGGAAAATTATACTGTATACTTATTTAGAGTGACTGCAGTTACCACTGGATTACTTTTGAAACACATGAAAAAGGAAAGCTCTGAGGTTAGAGGGAGCGCCTCTCGCCTCTCGTTTAGATCAGGCTGTTCAAAATGCACGATGATCACATCACACCTGTACTGGCCTCCCTACACCGCCTTCCACTCTATTTCAGGATCCAGTTTCAAATTTTATTATTCGTTTTTAAGAGTCTCAATGGCATGGTGCCACATTTCATGTCCGAGCTCTTACAGCGTCACACTCCAGCCAGAGCACTGAGGTCAACGAACCAATTGCTCTCAGAAATTCCTACATCCAGGCTCAAACACAGAGGCGATAGAGGCTTTTCGGTGGCGGCCCCTAATCTGTGGAACAGCCTAATTTTTTACGTCAGAGCTGCCCGGACCCTTGATGATTTTTAAAACGCTGCTGAAGACACATTTCTTCTCACTGGTTGAACAAGATATCTTGGTTTTTATCATGCAAGCACAATTTATCTCTTGTTTTATTGATTATTTTAGCTCATATTTATTGCTGATTTATGTCAATAGGGATTGTTGATTATATTCATATTTGTATAGTTTGTACAGCACTTTGGTCAACTGAGGTTGTTTTTAAATGTGCTATAGAAATAAACTTTGACTTGACCTCTTTGTGGCCCATGCATGGATGTCCGCTCTAACCTCTAAAGATCCAATTACTAATTAATCGGAGCTTTATCTTTAACACCCATCAAAGAAAAGGAAAGTTGGAGGTTGTACTGACTCTAGCAGCATGTGTACGACCTCTATTCTTTCTGCTTTGACTGAACAAAGGGTGCGAGTGCTGACACAAAATTCATTAATTGGATGCTGAATTTAAGTCTCCTGTGCTTAACAGAAACAAGCTTTAAGAAATAAATTGGAAATTAAGAAAAACCTTGAGATTAATCTTTCTCTGAGAGCAATATCCTCAAAGATGTTTCTAAGCGTGCTTGAGAAATGTTCATTTTTGTTTTGAACAGCACTTTCTCACAGATCCAGTTCAGGATTATGAGGAACCTAATGTGTTCTGTCATTACCGTATAGTGGCAAAGGGCTGTGCAGCACCAAATTAGCTCTGGCTAAACAATGGGTGAAGCCAAACAGGTGGCTCATATTGAGGAGGAGAACAGCCTCCAGACTTTTCCCCTCTCTCTCTCTCTCTCTCTCTCTCTCTCTCTGTATCAATGTCAATGGCTCCGGTGGAGACGAGAATGACAGGGAGGCAGAGACAGTGTGTGAAGCAGAGCGATGCTGTGGTAAGTCGGCGATAACCAAACTCCGACTGGAGGAAAACCACAGGCAAATGAGCTGCAATAACTGAGCGGCTGCCGCAACAGTTTTCTCGCCCTCACACACAAACACACACACGGTCTGACATAATAGTAAGTTAAACTGTGGGTTTGTGGTTGTACTCCAGCTACAGCTTACACCGAAACCAAACTGTGCCACAGAAAGCCTGACGGTGTCCAGATTATTTGAGATGTCTGCTTCGGGAGCGGGTTGCTGCACATAATGGCAAGAGAACAGAGTGAAAGGGAGCACTGAAAGGAATACAGTCAATTGCACTAATGGATGCAACCCATATGTTTTGAGTCTGCTTTAAAGCCCGCGAAAGTGATGGAAAGCTGTTTGACATCTGCTATGCTGTTTGCTGTTGCTGCTCAGCTGCTCTCTGAGGCCCAGCGCCATGATGATCACTTTCATTATGAGTGAAGCTACTTCTTCAAGTGATTCATCTCGTCCTAAAAGCCTGATCCTGTCACTGGCTGTCCTCTCAGATACGTCTCCATTTGCCGTCTTGTTTTACAGAACCAGTCCCCGTCCACCTCTCTGTCGTTCTCTCCTTTTCCCTCTCTGTGCTGTGAACTAATTTGTTCAGACCTTTTTTTTTTCTTTTTTTTTTTATCAAATCTTCATATCCCATGTTGCTTTGCATCTCTCAGTGCATGCGCTCGCCGTGCACCCTGCATGTCGCCGTGAGGGAGGGAATGACAGAGAAAAAGGAATCAGCAGGAACCTCAGGAGGAGGCACTGTCTCTATTCTGTTTCTTGTTTCTCACTCTTTCATTCTCTCTGATAGATTCCCTGTTTCTTCCTTTCTTACCGCAGAGATCAATGTGTACAGAGGTGCACCGACAATATCTTCTCCAAACAGCCTGCAGTGAAAAGTAACCAAGTACATTCACATAGGTACTGTAATTAATCTTATTCAAGCTTTTTAAGGTATTTTAAGGTACGTGTTCTACAATTAAAGGGGATATCTGTAAATATTTTCTCTGCCGCCAAATGTGGTTCCTTGCTGGGAGTGAGTGGTGACAATCATGCAGAAGAAGAAGAAGAAGGGTAAAAGAAGAAATAGTTCCTTTAAGTATTTACTTTATTTCTATTGAACTAAATTTCTTTCCTTTTCTTAAACTACAAGTATCAGACAACTCTAGTTACTGTTAAATTACAAGTAAGATTTTATGTATTAAATATATTACATTTTATACATTAGTCCAATGTTTCTCAAAGTGGGGTCCTGGGACCACAGGGGTCCTTTAGGAGGTTCCTGGGGGTCCCCAGCAAAAAAGGGGAATGATTCATTTTCACTATAGTTCCATCCATAAGTAATGCAATGACAGAATATATGACTATTTAGGTCATGGGCTTCAAAAACTTTCTAGGGGTCCGTGATGTGAATAAGTTTGAGAACCACTGCATTAGACCACCCAGTTGCATATAAGCCATTAAAATGATCTCCACCTCGAGGTCCTACATTAAAATGAGTATCAGTAATAATATTCCATATTCCTGCAATGTGTCTTTTTATATATGTCCTCTGAAAAGGACAGTATAAGTATATTTTGCTGCTAATGCACGACTGTACTGCGCGGTGTTATTAGTTTTCCCTAAAGAATAAGCTTCGTGATATTCAATATCTTTCTTATTGTCAGCAAATCATCGGAAAGAAGCCAAACCAGCGATGAATTGATCCTACAAACAAGTACTGTGTGTACGTGTATCCACAACCCGATATGTCTTATTCCTCTGAGCCACAGAGCTCCGAAAACGATTAAAGACACATCAACAAGCGAAACCGTTGCACTGGGATGTTCCCTCATTACCATGAACACACACCGTAGTTTATTTTGAGTCATACCCACATACATTGTCCTGCTGCCAGAAATACTCATTAGAGCAGCACATTCACTCCTGTTTGAGTAAGATTTAAAATGTGCAGCGTCCAGCTGTTTCAGGAAATTAAAAAGGAAACACTGTATTTGACCCGTTATTAAAGATTTATGTCTTCAGTAGGAATCAATGGGTTCGGGTTTCAGTGTCACAGACAGGTTAAGTATCGAGACACGGACTAACACATTGTTGGTTTAGGTGTTTTCACAGGATTTGTCGACGATAAGAAGACGGAGAATAACACCAGCCTTATCCTTCAAGTAGAGGAACTGAAGACTCGTTTCACCTCTGTCAGATGACACCCAGGTTACACCGCTGCAGACGTCAGGGCTGTTTTACACATAAATGAGTTGGATATGTAGCTCAGTTCAGCGCCAAAAAAAAAAAAAGAAAAAAAAAGAGGTGTTAGAAAGGCAATGAACTCCTCGCTCAGCCTGGCTGTTTGGCTCCCTGCAAGCCACATTCAGTGCGGATCAGTACACCAGTGGGTCTGTGTGGTAAACACAAGGGGCTGATAAGCATCTCACTTGATAACCTAATCTTGGAGCTGGATGCTGGTGTAGCTGCTGCTGCTGCACTTTTACACCAGATCTCAGACGTTTCCTATGATTTTTCTGGAGCTTTTTTATTGTTATTATATGATTATGTTTATATCTAATACACATACATTTATCCATCATTTCTTTCTTTTCTTATTTTACTAAATTTCATTCATCTGGCTGTATTTTCAATGTGCTGT